TTTTTTTTTTTTTTTTTTTTTGCTTTGCTTCGATGATGCCGATAATGTTGCTGGCTGCTGTTTTGTTCCTCTTTCCTATTTCTATATCAAAAATTGCAACCAAATATGACTGTGCTTTTTTCTTTTGCCAAGTTTATAATTGTAAAAATTTTGACTAATTAATTTTTTTAAACATTATTCTCTAACTTTTTGTTTTCTACTTATTTATAATGATAATTTATTCTGGAAAAAGAACTGTTTTTTTGATTTTTTGAGCTTATTGCTGCTGTTAACCATCTGTCAAATGATGATAAACCTATTGAACCGGGAGAGTTGCTAAAGTTATACGTTTAGCACTTTTTGTTCAAACAACTGTATTGTACAGAAATATTTGTGATAAATAGTTTTTTTTTTTTTTTTTCAAATAGTTTACTATTAATTAACTGGTTATTTTTTTTTTCTTTTTTTTTTATATGGGAATATTCATTGATATATTGGACAATTACTACGTTATAAAAATATGTTATGTATTGTTCTTTTGAAATAATGAAAATCTTTAATTGTTTTTCTTTTCTTTTCATTATTTATTTATTTATTTATTTATTTATTTATTTATTTATTTATCTATTTGTTGAAACTTTGACAAACTATTTTTAAATGTTTCAATCTTTTTTTATTGCTTTACTAAAATGAACACAGAAGTAGCAACAATTACGTTTACATCATTCTGCCTGTTTCTTGAATTAAGCAAAAAAATAAAAATTAAAAAAAAAGCGTTTTAAAAGTTACAGTTCTTTTACAGTTAACAGTATCAAAACCTGCTGATATTAATATCAATTCTGTTGACTGTTTTTGTAGAATAATGTCGTTGTTTTTTTTACTCCTTTTTTTTTTTTTACTTTTAGAAGTTTTAAAAGGTTAAACTGATTACTCCGAAGAAATTTAATAAAATTAAATGTGCTAAAAAAAACATTGGTATCAAGACTATAGGTTTAGAGCATAATTTTAATGATTAATGTAACTTTTTTTTTTT